TTGTAGCTGTGGAGTTCAACATTATATGAAGGTTTGATCGGGCTCTTGCCGAACGAAGATAAGCTCGAGCTGTGCTGTCCCGAGTACCATTTCTAAATAAATGAGCATACAAACAGGATAATTAGTCAACTTCAGAAAAAGCTTTTGTGCGTTAAAATGATTTGACTCCTAACCCCTGAGGATTCTAAATGAAGTGATATTATGCGTAGAATTCTACAAATGGCGATGCTATTTTGATATCTTTTGAAAGTAGGTACAATTTGGTGAATGTATATAATTTTGTTTGGTGTTGATTTACGAATTCACCAGTTTATTAAGTCATCAACTCTTTTATAACTTCTTATGTTAGTAGTGTTTAAAAGCATCAGGACCGTTTCCCAAATTTTCCATAACTAGTACGTAAATGTTGCATGATGATGGAATATTCAAACGTTAGAAATGGATTATCCTTAAACCTATACACGGAATATTGTGAGTTAAAAAAAATTCTAAGGTATTTTTATGAAGATAAGTTCCTATAGACATTTGTCAAAAAATGGTTTCTAAGAGAACTCCACCCCTTCATAAGGGTTACCGTTAACACAATTTTTCCTCGATATTTCGAAAACCGTTTATCCTGGAATTTTGAATATTGGTATACTGCTAACGCTGAATCGGTTTTGAAAATTCTCTGGGATATTCAAGAAATTGAAATTTTGACGAGATCTACCTCATGCTTATACTAAGCTACCATTTTAGGAATTCAGTAATGTGCGTGAATGTAATAAAAACTTTTTAAGGAAAAAATTAAACCGCCGAAACTGAAAAGGAAAAAACATTAACCTTTATTTTATTAACCTTAATAACTAAGTTCTTCAACTAATATAAGTGTACCTAAATAATTTTCAGTCGACGCCTTCACTTTTATCCGATTCTCATTAAAATTTTGAAATTCCGAGCTCACATTCTTCATTCATTGTCTAAATATCGAAATTAATTGTAGTTTGAACGGTTTCTAAAATATTAAAGAAAAATTGTGTGCAGAATGACGCATCTAAATGGGCTTAACTCCCTTAGGATCCCACTATTCGACAAACGTTTGTACATGTTCAACAATTTCAACGAAATCAGAATTGCGTATACCTATCGGCACATTCACCCAACAATAGTAATCGAAAAATAGGCGAACGATCTTCTCTAAAAGTGTGAGTAAATGAAACAGGTAACTAAAATTCTCCTTACTTATTCATATGTTGCGTAAGTACAAATCCTTCGAGAACATCTGCGTTAAGGTCGCTTGGAGTTGCATAACCAGCAGATCTGGCAGCTGCAAGAATGTCTTGAGCTATGGGGGGTGCATAAGGAAACCTTTCAACTCTCAACGGACCCCCAACTCCGTGATACTCAGTGCTTGTTAGATTACCAATATTACCATTGTCTTCCGATTTAATAAAATATGGTAGAAGATCATCGTAACTCCATCCTGTGTTAATACTCAGTGCTTGTTAGATTACCAATATTACCATTGTCTTCCGATTTAATAAAATATGGTAGAAGATCATCGTAACTCCATCCTGTGTTACCCAATTCCGCCCAATAATCGTAATCTCTCGGTACCCCACGCATATATGTCATTCCATTTACAACCCCGCACCCTCCAAGTGCTTTTGCTCGGATGTAGGTGCATTGGTTGTTTGCGTTTTGGCGACAGGCGTTCGCTTGACGTTCTGTGGGATAGAACAGCGTTGTTTCACTGTTTCCTATGAATGTGAATGCAAAAGTGGGTACTTGGCTTCCTACAGGTTCATCATTGCCCTGTTCTATAAGCAGAACTTTCCAATTCGGGTTTTCACTGAGTCTTCCAGCTACTACTGACCCTGCACCACCACCCCCTACTACTATAAAGTCGTATGAGTTATCAGGATTTAAAGTTGGCCTTATTCTTCCGCACACGTCCGAGATATCACATTGATTTCGAAGAAGATTATTGACAAGAGTCATAAACATAACTGACGATGCTGCATTACACGAAGTGTTTTGAATAGGAACACCGTAAAAGGGATTTGTACAGTTACAAGCCATAATTGTGAGTGTTTTGTAATTTTGTTACCTAAAAGAGATTGGTCTTACCCTTCATAATATAAAAACAATCTACATAAATATTATCAAATCATGAAAAAAATATTTTAGTTTTATATACAATGCTCCAGCAGCAGTAAGAGTGACATTGAACTTATGGTTTTCTGATTTGCATGTAAAAGATAATTTACGAAATACTTTCTAATGTTTGATGAACTCTATTTAGATATGCCACAATTGTATTAAAAAATAAGACTATTAATATTTTTCTTTTGTGCTACAATATTAATGATGTTATTTCATTTTCATCCTGGTACTTACCCTAAAATGCTATATCTACTTTGATTTTCTTTTTAAAACTTCATTTCAGCAATGCAAACTAAAACTACTTTGAAATCGAAAACAAACCTTTTATATTCATCTCTTTTTGAAATCCTTGTCAAATTAAAAATATCTTATCTAACGGTTGATAAACACACGTATTAATTAAATTAATAAGATAATACAAGCTAATAACACCTACTTCTGACACCAGGAAGTATTTTTTATGTGTTTGTTGAAACCAAACTTTATTGATTTAACATAACGAATGGCGAAAAATATCGAAGCGAATGCATAACAACACAAAACAAAATTATCTATACAATTGAAAATTACTTGACATTTGTATAAATAAAGCATAAATTAAATATTACTTTAGTATTCAATNTTCAGAGATTCGAGTTTCTCGTTCAGAGATTCGAGTTTCTCGTTCAGAGATTCGAGTTTCTCGTTCAGAGAGATTCGAGTCTCTCGTTCAGAGATTCGAGTTTCTCGTTCAGAGATTCGAGTCTCTCGTTCCGAGATTCGAGTTTCTCGTTCAGAGATTCGAGTCTCTCGTTCCGAGATTCGAGTTTCTCGTTCAGAGATTCGAGTCTCTCGTTCAGAGACTGGATACGAAATTAGGATCTCTCTATGAGCGACTCGAGTCTCTGGTTCAGAGACGCTGAACAATTTTTTTGACAGTCTCTCGACAGCGACATCACAGAGACTCGATGACAAACGGAGACTCGGGTCTCGCTTTCAGAGACTCTAACAGACTGAACGTTTTTATCTCGGGGTTAAAAGAAAACGTAATTATTTCTTTGTTTGTAAAAGTTCTATTTCAAATGCAATAATATCGGATTTAATACAATGTTATACAATGCATTAGGACCAGTCGCTTTTAATAAAATCGGCTGCCCGCTCGCCTACAAGAACAACAGTAGCAAAAGTATTTCCAGCTATATTCTCTGGATAAATTGATGCATCAGCTACTCTAACATTAGAAGTTCCGTGAACCTTCAATTCAGGGTCGACAACGGCCATTCTATCAGATTGAGGGCCCATTTTACACGTTCCAGTCAAATGGTTTTCTTGATAGGTGCTGTATCTGGTCGCACATTCCCAGAAAGCATCGCTACCAAATTGATAAAGAGATGAGCAGTTTCCATGTGGATTCCGCACCAATTCAGAACCGTACTTTTGTTTTAAAATGTCGGCATTTCCCACTCTAATGGCCGTTTTTATTCCGGAAACTATAGCTTGAACGTCGTAATCCTCTTGTAAATAGTTGGGCTGTACAATCAGCCTTCCACTTGGATTATTCGAACTCAGCTTAATGTAACCCCTGCTCTTAGCTCTTACTAACGTTACTTGTAAGGTAATCAATCTTGTGTTATTTGGCTGATTGGGATCGGCTGGCAAATTGGCCGAACCATTGCCATAAGCACAGGTGGCACTGTAACCAGCAAAATAAATCTGTATGTCCGGCCAATTTTGTTCCTGGTTTACAGACGATGAAAATCGAGCGCCAACTTGTGCGAGTCCTGTAGAGGACAAAGGACCTCTATGTTGACTTAAATATTGATTTACGGCGTCCCTTGTCAGCAGATTGGTATCCGGAACTTTTGTCAAGTTGAACCGTACAAATAATGAAACGTGATTTTGGAAATTTTGACCGACACCTGGAAGGTCTCGAACCACAGTAACGTTCACATCTTCTAAATCAGCTCTTGGACCAATACCAGACAATAGAAGTAACTGAGGAGAACCGATAGTCCCACCTGATACTATTACTTCTTTTGTAACGCTGACATTGTAACGTCGGCCGTTATAAGAGAATTCCACAGATCTGGCCACTGCTAATCCGTTTCTTTGTGAAAAATTAATTTTTGTAGCTGTGGAGTTCAACATTATATGAAGGTTTGGTCGGGCTCTTGCAGAACGAAGGTAAGCTCGAGCTGTGCTGTCCCGAGTACCATTTCTAAATAAATGAACACACAAATAGGATAATTAGTCAATTTCGTAAAGACCTCTTGTGCGTTCAAATGATTTAACTCCTAACCCCTGACGATGCTAAATGAAGTGATTTTGTGAGTAGAATTCTACAATTGGCGATGCTGATATTTTGATATGTTTTTTATCTTTTGAATGTACAATTTGGTGAATGTATATATAATTTTGTTTGGTGTTGATTCATGAATTCACCAGTTTCTTAAGGTATCGACTTTTTCATAACTTCTTATGTTAGCAGTGTTTAAAAGCATCAAATTCCCAAATTCTCCATAACTAGCACGTAAATGTTGCATGATTATGGAAAATTCAAACGTTATAATAGATTACCCTTAAAACCTGTACACGGAATATTGAGAGTTAAAAAAATCCTAAGGTATTTTTATGAAGATAAGTTCCTATAGACATTTGTCAAAAAATGGTTTCTAAGAGAACTCCACCCCTTCATAAGGGTTACCGTTAACACAATTTTTCCTCGATATTTCGAAAACCGTTTATCCTGGAATTTTGAATATTGGTATACTGCTAACGCTGAATCGGTTTTGAAAATTCTCTGGGATATTCAAGAAATTGAAATTTTGACGAGATCTACCTCATGCTTATACTAAGCTACCATTTTAGGAATTCAGTAATGTGCGTGAATGTAATAAAAACTTTTTAAGGAAAAAATTAAACCGCCGAAACTGAAAAGGAAAAAACATTAACCTTTATTTTATTAACCTTAATAACTAAGTTCTTCAACTAATATAAGTGTACCTAAATAATTTTCAGTCGACGCCTTCACTTTTATCCGATTCTCATTAAAATTTTGAAATTCCGAGCTCACATTCTTCATTCATTGTCTAAATATCGAAATTAATTGTAGTTTGAACGGTTTCTAAAATATTAAAGAAAAATTGTGTGCAGAATGACGCATCTAAATGGGCTTAACTCCCTTAGGATCCCACTATTCGACAAACGTTTGTACATGTTCAACAATTTCAACGAAATCAGAATTGCGTATACCTATCGGCACATTCACCCAACAATAGTAATCGAAAAATAGGCGAACGATCTTCTCTAAAAGTGTGAGTAAATGAAACAGGTAACTAAAATTCTCCTTACTTATTCATATGTTGCGTAAGTACAAATCCTTCGAGAACATCTGCGTTAAGGTCGCTTGGAGTTGCATAACCAGCAGATCTGGCAGCTGCAAGAATGTCTTGAGCTATGGGGGGTGCATAAGGAAACCTTTCAACTCTCAACGGACCCCCAACTCCGTGATACTCAGTGCTTGTTAGATTACCAATATTACCATTGTCTTCCGATTTAATNAGTGACCAAGAATCAACAATCATCCCCTGTTTTCGCACCCTTGGGGTTCGAATTTTTTTTTCAAATGTTTAGAGGACCAACTTCGGGGTATACCCTTTCTAATAAAAAAATAATTATCAAAATCGGACTACTCTGTAAAAAGTTATGCTTTATTACGTTAAAATCGTTTAGGTTTCATATTTCAAAATCACAATGGGAAAAATTACCATCAAAAATTTGGTTATTTTTACCCTTAACCCCTTCACTATTATCCGCTTCTCATTGAAATTTTGAAATTCCGACCTCACATTCTTCATTCATTGTCAAAATATCGAAATTAATTGCAGTTTGAACGGTTTCTAAAATATTAAAGAAAAATGGTGTGCAGAATAACCCATTTAAATGGACTTAGCTCCCTTAGGATCCTATTATTCGACAAATGTTTGTATATGTTCATCATAGTAGACTGCATAACATAGTAAAATTTCAACGAAATCAGAATTGCGTATACCTATCGAAACATTTACCCAACAATAGTAGATAATGGTAAAGTTGGCACACGATCTTCTCTGAGTGCCAGTAAATGACAAAAGTAACTAAAATTCTCCTTACTTATTCATATGTTGCGTAAGTACAAATCCTTCGAGAACATCTGCGTTAAGGTCGCCTGGAGTTGCATAACCAGCAGATCTGGCAGCTGCGAGAATGTCTTGAGCTATGGGAGGCGCATAAGGAAACCTTTCAACTCTCAACGGACCCCCAACTCCGTGATACTCAGTGCTTGTTAGATTACCAATATTACCATTGTCTTCCGATTTAATAAAATATGGTAGAAGATCATCGTAACTCCATCCTGTGTTACCCAATTCCGCCCAATAATCGTAATCTCTCGGTACCCCACGCATATATGTCATTCCATTTACAACCCCGCACCCTCCAAGTGCTTTTGCTCGGACGTAGGTGCATTGGTTGTTTGCGTTTTGGCGACAAGCGTTCGCTTGACGTTCTGTAGGATAGAACAGCGTTGTTTCACTGTTTCCTATGAATGTGAATGCAAAAGTGGGTACTTGGCTTCCTACAGGTTCATCATTGCCCTGTTCTATAAGCAGAACTTTCCAATTCGGGTTTTCACTGAGTCTTCCAGCTACTACTGACCCTGCACCACCACCCCCTACTACTATAAAGTCGTATGAGTTATCAGGATTTAAAGTTGGCCTTATTCTTCCGCACACGTCCGAGATATCACATTGATTTCGAAGAAGATTATTGACAAGAGTCATAAACATAACTGATGATGCTACATTGCACGAAACGTTTTGGAGAGGGAGACCATAAAAAGGGTTTGTACAGTTACAAGTCATATTCGTGATTTTTTTGTAATTTTGTTACCTAAAAGAGATTGGCCTGTTTCTTTATAATGTAAAATAATCGTGTCGACTAAATAGATATATTTACTTTGCATCCACCCCAATACAATCGAAGAATATAGAAGAAATTATCTATTTAAAATTTATGTGTAGTGTGCACATTATGGCATTAAAATTACCATTTAAAATATGTAAAAAACACATTCTAATGTTTGATCAGTATGAAACAATTGCTTGTAAAAAAAAGACTATTAATATTTTTCTCTTCCACTGCAATCTTTTCCTTTCAGAATGTTATTTAATTGTCCTTTTGTACTTACCCAGAAAGTGCAATATCTATTTAGACTTGCATTTGAAATTTCACTTCGGCAATACAAAACGAAAACTACTTTGAAACTGGAAACGAATCTTTTATATTGATGCTGTCCT